AAGATCGGATCAGCCTATTTTACTTCCAACACGCTACTATAGATTAGCCGTGAATTTATAGCGAGATAGGTTAGGTATTAAAATCTCCTTTTATTTACCGTAAATCCCACATTAAATGATAAAAAAAATAATTACACAACATATTCGTGTTTGAATTACTCCGTTTAATAAGATTGATTAGTTTATAAATTTAAAAAATCTTTACCAAACATTTCTAACGATCATAGATACTATATTCAAACAATCTCTCGCAATTTTAACAAACAATTGGCACAACTCAAATTTTCACGGTCTACTTCTAGCATGGATTGGGTCAAGATAGGAGCAAAATAAACCAAATATTTTTGCATCGCGATATATATTTTCATCATAATCGAAAACTCAAAATAAGAAAATTATTTATGTGCGATAATTATAATGAGATACAATATATTTTTAAGGGCATGTTCGGTAGAGATTAAAATTGGATTAAAATTGAAAAACTAGCCGTTATAGTTGACTTTTATTAGATGAGTTGGACCCAATAACGATCATATTTTCAATTTTAATTGACTTTTAAGCCATACCGAACAGGCCCTTATTATAATTAGTGTCCCTAAACTTTGATAAATTTCTCACCGTTTTTTCTTAAAATTCTCAAAATCAATCTTTTATTAATTTGCATATCTGATCTCTAATAATATTAATTGTTCATATGGCGTTAAAAGACTTATTTTTTCTCTCATATTTTAAACAACTATAGATAATAGAAGTTTGACAAAATTTTTGCCTTATTTCAATGCACGTTGAGGCATATTTGGGTTGAAATTCATCATTATAGACAATATGTGCTAATTAATAAAACGTTAAAAGATATATTTAACGAAAAGAATGAAGGATATAAATGTAAAAACAAGCAAATATTGGAAACCTTCGTCATCATAATTAAAATATGGCACGTACTATGAATAGTAAGAATTGTGGTATTATTATAATTAGCGTTCTAAAAAGCTCCGTCTAGATGCGAAGCAAGCCCAATCGAACCTCGTTGCTCTTTTTTGCGCTTTTTATTTATTTATTCGAGTACTTTTTTTTTTACACTTTTTACTTTTTGGTACGCTTTTTTTTCATTATTAAATAATTTTTAGATTTATTTAAAAATTTAAAAGTATATTAAAATAAAAAACGTTTTTTTTACATTTTTTTACACCCGGGCCTCGCATAGGCCGAAACCTGACTTCTACGTTTCGCAACTATAATTAGCCCCTATTTAAGCCACATTAAAATTTTCAATTTCATTCTTCTACTTATTTTTAACCACACATTTTTCAATAAAATAATATTTTCCATCACATCAGTAACTTTTCATTCTTTTTCAACCACACATTCTCCATCAATCTACTATTCAAAAATACATTCTTCCAAAATAATGTGACTCGAACACACACCCACTCTTTAATGTGACAAAGAAATATCATATCAATAAAACTATTCATTGTATTGAACCACCCTTAATAATTAGATTAGTCTATAGAATTTACTGTTCACAACATCCAATCGAATTATTGATTGGATAATGTCTAGGTTCAAATATTTCAAGTAGATGAGATTTCACAATTTCTTAAAATTGATCGAGACTTTGCATCATTATATCGATGATCATTGACATGTATTTTAATTTTAAACATCAAATTATATGCTGGTACAAAATAAATATAAACAAACCCTTTTTTTTTTTGCCAAATATTCATACAATAATGTCAATTAGTGGATGTGCATAGGTACCCATGTGACAAAGTTATGGGTTTAGTTGTGGGCTTACAGGGTCTTGTTTTTTGGGTAATAGGTCGTATTACTGTGGGTCCATAATAATTCACGTAATACTTTCTCACAAATTAACTTTAAATTATAGTTTGCTCGATTGAAAATGAAATTGGAAAAAAATAAGTTTTAGAAAATTTAGAACAATGTTCTAATATCTCCCATTTGCATGTACATTGACTCGTACTTTGGAACTTTTTCGAAAATATTATGTTATGAACTATTTTTTCCTAATACCTCGCATCAGGCACTCCCGACCAGCTAAAAATATGAATAATTAACAAAAAATTGGAATTTCTCATTGTCAATGAAAAATTATTGCTAGTGTCCTTTCATAATTGACAAAACGATGGTGATTGATAAGGACTCCATTGCTAAAAAGGCTATGCTAAAAAACAGAGATGTTTCGAGCACGTTTAACTAAGTTAAATGTAATAAAAATTAAGTCCCATGTGAACTCCATTAATTTCAAAAATTATTTTGAATCTCACATTCTTTCCTAAATAATATTATATATAAATTCAAAATTTTTTTCTTATGTTTTAGTCACAAATTCTTCTAAAAATTACTATTTCAAAATCACATTAATTAACAGAATCATACTCATTTGAAAATCATCTATCCACAGTACACGTTTCTTTACGGTTGTCCTTATCCTCAACTGTATTCCTCAAAGTACCTTGAGTGTGATTTGAAAGGTCGAGAAAAACATTAACGAACGAAGGACACTTAATTTATCTTTGTTAGACATGAGGGTTGTCATCTCATTTTTCTTTTGACTTCCCATTCTTGATGGTTTTCCCATGATGGACTGTAATAGTTGCAAGTTTTTTAACATTAACAAATATAAGTTATTTTTTTTTTAAAAAATAGATAATCCATAAATTAACAAGATTTGTTAATAATAAATTGTATTAATTTAAAAAGATCTTACCATGAAAATTACAATTAATTAGTAGGTTTTGTGAGTTTCAATGCGTTAATTCGATACACAATTGCTGATGATTGGTTTGTTGATCCCGACAAACGTCTTATGTACGAACGGCTCAGTTTTATTACTTTCCTAAATTCACATATTTTAATGTTTAAAGTAGCCACCGTTTTCAGTGCGCTTCAACCGTTCCCACCTTTACCTGAAGAAAAAGGAAAAATCAAACCTCAAATTATTCAACTGTTCAGTTTTTAGATTTATTTTTAATATTATTTTATTAAAAAATGTACCGTCGATAAAAAGACAGACAAAAAATGAATTTTAATTTTGTATTCAAGGAATGAAAAACGTGTCATCTAACTTCGAACGGGAAATTATGGAATGCTGACTAGGATAAAGCGTGTTTAATTAATAATTAACTAACGCGAGTTTAATGCACTAAACTCCAAAAAATCCTAACGGAAAATGTTATTTGTATAGTTCAACGGGGGATCAAAGTGGTTACGATTATCTCTTTTCTGCTTAACCAAAAAATAAGTGACCCTCTTCTGAAAAAGACAAATTTGCCACTAAAAGTTTTCCATAAATGCGTTTTGGACCGAGGGTAATTTAAGGTTTTCAGGTGTGGAGGTGTGCCCGTAAAAAAAAAGTCAGTACGAGTATTAAAAAGGTTGTGAGACAGGGAAATTTGACAAATTTAGTTGGGTAAAGTAAATACATCAGACCTGCAGCTTCTGTGCTCCTGCTTCAGTTTATTGCACCAAACAGGTAAATTATTGTAACTTTCACGCAACAAACATTTCCTGGTTGACCCGGAGCCTCAGCTTGTCCTACTATTTTCCTTTCTATTTTCTTTTTCTTTTTAAATAAATTTCCCCAACCCTCACCCCATTTTACAAAAAATACAAGTAAATTTATTTTTCAAAATTAAAATATGTGCAAGTTTTCTGTTTTTTAAACGTTTGGGGTTATCAACGATGGACCAAATTTACGATAATCACGTCAAAGTTATTTGTTGATATCTTAGGCCCCGTCTGTTTGTGCTACTAATCAGAATTTTGGCCGTTAAAAACACTGTGCAACCGCAACATTGGACTGAACTCTCTCTTAGTGGGGCCCAAAAGGTTGAAAAAAAGGGCAAAAATGCGATTTTTTGGGAGAAAAATCGGAACCAGACAGGTTCTTAAGCTGGAGATCGATTTACATGTTAAGCACTTTGGCTACAATTTTTTAAGTATTATCGTTTGACACGAGATTAGCTCATATTAAAAATTTAGTATTAATTTATAATGAACGATATTATATAAATAAAATTGTGGTAGATGATATTGTTTGATTTTTTTTTATTCATATGTAAATGGCATTTTTTAACAAAAAAAAAATAAAATTAAAGAATATTTTTTATAACTCAACTCTTGTTTAACATAGATTAAAATCAGATTTTCAGGTGAAAACTTGTGAATTCTATGAAGTAAATGGTTAAAATAAATGTTGACTTTGACTTGATTTTTAATTTGATTTTACCAAATCATATAGGGAACATATAATCTACTCTAATACCATTCACCTATTAGTGTCCAATAACTTCACACTAAATTCATTATATGGCCTATTACGATGGAACTTTGTACTAAATTCATTATACAGTCTATGCGGATGCATATCTTCGTACAATATTGCCGAAAGAATAGACACATAAATTTTAAGGTGATATTGAGTCAATCGAGTTCTTAAAGCGTGGAAAATAGTTTCAAAGTAAATGTGTTAAATGGGACGAGTCGACTTGTTCGACCGAAGAATGACTGATTAGCTAGTGAGTTGCTCGAAGCTCGTCGATATTTTTATTTTTATTGAAATTATATTTTTCACTCGTTATAACAACCGTGAATTGTAAGCCGGGCGATCACTTGACTTGTTAGGGGGGCGAGTCGAGACGGTCGAGGTGAAATGAAGCGAGTCAAATAAGGGATGAAAATTTGTGTAACCCACATGACAAAGCATCTGATGGATTCAGCAAAACAGAGTTAACCATGGATTAGAACCCGGGTTAAAAAAACCAAGTGGTTAAGAAGCACAGCCACATAGCCAAGATTTTTGTTTATCTACATTCATCACTACCCATCATCACTACCACTACCCTTCTTTCCTTTCCCTAATCTCTTCATCTCTCTAACCACATGGAGAAAGATTATTCTTTTTTTCTCAAAACCCTAACCCTATCTTTGCTCAAAAAGATTTAAAATTGTTAAAACCCTTTGATGTTTCAGCCATGGATTTAAGCAATTCTACTGCAACAGCCACAGTTAAGACACCGGAAGCTGAGAATGAGACGCCCAACCGGATCCAGACCACAAATTCAAAGCCTTTGTCTTTATCCAACGGCGTGTTGAAGAGACACCCGCCGCTGCAACTTTATCAAGGGAATTTCAACAACCACCATCCGGTGGTGGTGAACTACAAAGAATGTTTGAAGAACCACGCCGCGAGCTTGGGTGGCCATGCGGTGGATGGTTGTGGAGAGTTCATGCCGGCTCCTACTGCGAATCCGTCTGAGCCTACTTCGTTGAAATGCGCCGCGTGTGGATGTCATCGAAATTTCCACCGCCGTGAGCCGGAAGATCCACCTAACGCCACACCTGCTCTTGAATACCAGCCGCACCACCGTCACCATCCTCCGCCGCCGGTGGGGAATCGTGGGAACTGCAGCAGCCCAAATTCACCTTCCCCACCGCCGATCTCATCATCTTACTACCCGTCAGCACCCCACATGCTGCTGGCCCTCAGCCATGGCCTTACTGGTCCACCGCCTGACAACAACACACCAATTGCCACCACTCCCAACTCCACATCAGCACCTCTGTCGTCAAATCCTAATGGCAGAAAGCGTTTCAGAACAAGATTCACACAAGATCAAAAGGAAAAAATGCTCCAGTTCGCCGAGCGAGTTGGGTGGAAAATGCAAAAAAGAGATGAAGAAGGGATCACAGAATTCTGCACTGAAATTGGAGTCGATAAAGGGGTATTCAAAGTGTGGATGCATAATAACAAGACCACTTTTGGCAAAAGAGACCAGCAAATATCTAACAGTGCCATCTCCCCCACCTCTCCAGCCACCAACAACGGCAACGGCAACGGCAATGGCAATGGCAATGGCAATGGCAATAGCAACGGCAACGGTATTAGCTATGGTACTATAAGCAGTAGAAATAACACGTTCGACACAGCCACCGCCACCACTTCCGTCCAATATCACCACCAGCGCCAGGACAGCAACAATGACAACAAAATTAACGTCCATGGTCAAGATTTGAGTCAGCACCACCTTCATGATAACAGTGGCAACGGTCCTCATGTTATTGGTACTAATGGGTCTTCTTCTTCTTCCTAAACACTTTTGATGGCTTATGGATTAAATAAGTGTTAGCCAGAAAGGGCAAAAAAAAAAAAAATGGAGTCTGAGTTCTTAGATTTTAATCTCTTCTTCTACTTGTTAGATTTTTAATCTTTGTTTAATTAGTTATTAATATCATTAGCTGATCAAGTTTCTGAGGATGTTTATGAAGAAATTATTGCATGCATAAATCTTCTGTTTTTAAAAGAAACAGAGACGGTGGATTGTCTGAAATTCAGAAACAAAAACTTAAAAATGGGTGCAGTTACATAGAAAATTTTTAATCAATCTTACTGAATCTTGCATGATACAAATCTTCTGTATCTGACCAGAAAAGAGAACTACTGCCTTTTAAGATTTTTTAAATATTCTTCACAATTTGATTTAAATATCATTAATCTTTATTCAAGTGGATGCTAATGGATAGGGTGTTTCCAAATGTGTTTGGGAATTCATTTGTTACAAGATCCCATCATTGGGATTTATATTATATCTTAAGTTTGCTTTAGTTAACTTGGCAATTATGTCACCTTAGATTAACCTAATGGGTAGCTTCATTTCTAAATTAAGCTCTTAGGTACAAAATCCAAATTCAACAAAGAAAGCTAAAAAGAGCTTACATATGTACTTTGATGCGTGCTTACTGTGGCATTAAAGTTTAATTAAAGTACATGTTTATGTTCTTTCTAGGGTGGGGAGTGGGGTGACCTGCTCACTGGTTCAACTCGCTCCCCTCACTCGTCGAGATGACTCAGCTCGCGTTCGAGAGTTGGCTTGCTAGTCAGCTCGCTGGCTCACTTTTTTGTCTCTCGAGGAATCATAATATTTACAATATTTACGTATTCATTGTATTTCGAGGAGTAAAGTGTAATTTTCAACAAAAAGAAAAAAAAAATTATTGAGATGCGGGTGGGCTCAGCTCGTCCCACTAAGCAATGAGCTTATGAATCGAGTTGAGCCCAACTTTCTTGAAGCGAGTTGGCTCGCGTGATTGGTTCAACTGATCGGCTTGATCTGTTTAACTCGCCTAATTCTTTCTCGCTTCTTTTATTAATCTCGGATTTTGTACTCTATAAGATGTTTGGTGGATTAATTTGGAAATGAAGCTATCCATTAGGTTGGTTAGTCTAAGATGACATAATTGTTAAACCTTTGATTAGTAGTTTCTCCAAATAATACTTTCCTTTTGAGGGAAGCAACGTTTATAATAAAGGGTACTTGTGCCTCGTCCATAATCTCCTTTCCTTCTGGGTTTGTTTTAAGAATTAATATTATACTTGAAACAAGCTTAAAGTAGTAAATTTGAGTTATTTTTGTGGGTCACTTAGTCTTTGAGGCGTACGTGACAACTAGTGTCCAGTTTTCAGATTCATTCAACAACCAAAGCATGGGTCAGTCCTTTCATTAATGCAGAGAGTGGGTAATGGGCATAGCTGGATTTTTTAAGATTGATCTGGCAGCCTTAACAAAATCATAATTATTGCAATTCTTTGGTTGTCCTAACAAAAACATGATTGTAAATAATGATAAATCCAAATCAAATTGAGTCGAGAAAATCTTGATTTAGGACCCATTGGCAAGCTTTTGCTTTTGCTTCTCCTTTTTGTGAAAGAGCCCTTAAAAGAGTTGTTTCAAATCAACTTCCTCTTAAAGTTATTCTAGTCAGATAAAACACTTTAAAAAAATTGTCTTAAGTGTCTGTTTGGGTCAGATTAAAATCTGATTTTAATCTAAGTCAAAATCAAACAATCAATATTAACCACATCTTTCATGGGTCCCACATCTTTTCAACCACACATTTCAAAAACTTATATCACAATCCACTAAAAATATAATTTTAATCCCCACCAAACACCCTCTAAATCTACGCTTATTTAATCTAAGTCAAAATCAAACAATCAATATTAATTACATCTTTCATGGGTCCACATTTTTTCAACCACACATTTCAAAAATTTATATCACAATCCACTAAAAATCTAATTTTAATCCCCACCAAATACCCTCTAAACATCTCAAAAAAAGTAACTTATTAACCTCAAGAAACAACATTTTACTGTTCAAAAGTCTTACCAAACGAGTTCTTTAGAATTAGGATGAAGGCATAACAAAATAATATTGAGTAATGTTTAAGAGTAGGTGTAATATTCGATTCCAAATTCGTAGCTATTTTTAGTAGAGGATGGGAGAGAATAATAATTTGGTTGTGGGTACGGTTTATAGTTTGGACAGAGGAATCCAAAGACGTGTGAAAAATTAATGGTGATAGTGAAAGGAACAAAAAAAATTGAGTAAAGGATTAAAAGAAATTTTAATATTAACGGTAAGTGTAGCCTCAAAAAAATAAATGTATCATGTGGATTCAATCCATACAGCGTCACAAGCACGACTCAATTCTTATATACGTAAGTATGCACGACCGTACGTAAAAAAGATTACACATGAATGCCCTGACGTGGGCTTAATGAGAGGTCGACGAAACGTATTGTAAAAAAGTTGTGAATTTGAGTAAAATTTTTTTTTTTTTGGAGAATGAGGACCAAACGGAGACTAAGAGGAGGTCTCGTTTTGGAATAATACGGGTAGGTTAATGTTGGGAAGGTCGTAGCATAGGGCTTTGAATTGATGTAAACTATACAAAAGAAAATATAGTACTGCCATTACTCCCATTAAATTGTTAGGCAAAGAAAAATTCATTTCAATGCTAGTTAGGTTAAGCCAGCTTTTTCTTTATTGGGAATTTGTGATCATTTTTAATTATTTTATATTATATTTTGTTATTATTTGTAAATATTTCTTATTGAAATTGCTTGCAATTCTTATAGATAATGATTGTCTGATTCACAAAAGCTAAAGATAATTGTTTGCAATTCTTATAGATAATGATTGTATGATTCACAAAAGTAAAAGATAATCCAAGGAGTTGTTTGTATTCATAAGGGGATGGCAGTAGTTTTGGAGTTTCTGATAATCAAAGTCCCCTTCACTACAAGGAATAATTTTATTATTTCACAAAAGAAAATTTTAAAAATATTATAAAATACAAATTAATCAGTTTAAATAAGTTTAACAAAACTTTATATTTTTGGGTGCATGTTTGATAAGAATCCTATGGTTCTTATGGTATCAAAGTTAACTAAATTCAAACGGACAACTTGATTTGATAAAGACTTAAATGAGGACACATATTTCGAGATTTGGTTGTTCGAATGAGTCACTATCCTACAAAAATATATTAAGGAAGAAATCTTGCCTCGAATAAATATCAAAATTAATATGAAGGTTTGACACTTCAAGTTAGAATCCTAATTCTTAATGTATGTTTGCGAACATTTTTTTATTTATTGATTCGATGTGAGAATAAATCTTGCCTCGTTTTAGTAAATCAATTTTGAAATGCATATGCTCGTTTGAGTTTTAATAGCATAGAATTGCTCATTGGAGATATGGACTCTGCAACCGTGTTAAGAGTTATATTTTTATTTTAAAATATCAATCTTGTTAAGAGCAGCAGTTCAAACCTTTATATATTGATCGATCGTGTTACACGTACTCCATCTTTTATATATTTGTTTATTAACAGAAGATTTGACGAGATTTGATCGAGTTAAAATTTCATCAACTAATTAATAATAATATTAAAAACTACTTGCTATTTTTTTACACCCCTTCAATGTATAAAAGATTATGTAAATGACGATGTACACAAGCATTTTCCTATATTGATATATATTTTAGTATTTAATTGATGTAATATTTACATCCCTTAATTGGAAATCATCCACAACAAAGAACTTCCTCTCTACTTTTCCTTTTCGGGGATTTGAAACACCTCATTCACAAAAAAAAAAAAAAAGACACAATTTTCTAAAAATAACTATTTTTTTCTTCCGTTTAGTTCTAAACATTTTCTATCATATCCTTACTAGCGCTTTAAAAAGCGGTGTCTAGGCACTAAGCGGGCGCAAAATGCCCCACCTCACGCTTTTTCACGTCTAGGTGGACTTTTTTTTTTCTTCAATATAGTATATTATTATTTTATATGTTCAGTACATATTATTTTAATTATTAAATAATTTTTAAATTGATTAAAAATTTAAAACAATATTAAAATAAGAAAATATTTTCACGTTTGGGCCTCGCTTAACCCGACGTTTGGTCTACACGCCTCGTCACGCTTTACTTTTTTTAGAACAATTATTCTTAGAATAATTACGCCTTTTTTGAGAATTATTTTAAAATTTATATAGAATATTTCAGTTTGATATAATAATTAGCTAAAATATGTGCTCATAACCTAGAAAAATAATTAGCAGAGGAAAGAAGAACGTATGCATTGAACGGAGGCTTGTAATTGAAGATAATAAATAGGACCACCTAATCGTTCCGAGCATAAAAGGATACTGCACATTGTTTTTCCTTTTTTTAAGTGGTCCGAACCTCGTTAATATTTTGAAACATATTTGACCACTAATTTTTTCACTGCCCACATCCATTTTTTTTATATAAATTTTTGCATAATTCAAATGTAAATTGAGAGGCAGTAATTCATTAATCCAACCCCACTGAATTTGGCTGATGATAAAGACGCTTTTTGACATGTCCCGTTCCAAATCACTTTAGCGGATTCGAAATGTTATGTACAACGCTAATCATGTATCGAACCCACCATCACTTTGACCTGCTTTGACTATAGTGAAATTAATAAAATAAAATAAAAATTGATAAGAGTGTCCTCCGTAATATATACTAGACTAACTTGAAAAGCAACAACTTTTATCCTTACTCCTTCAAAAAAATGAATTATTTCGGTATTTCACTATATGTAGGCATAAAATAAATAAATAAAATGTCAAAGGAAAAACGGATGGTCAAAACATCAGGTCAGTAATACGTGAAATAATGAGATATGACAGTTCAAATTTCATGAGAGAGGGAGATTGAACTGTCATACCCCATTATTTCACCTAAATTGTTAGGTCATCGATGTCCCATTATTCTTAATTATTTTTAATATGATGTTTAAATATAATTGCTAGGGCTTTATAATTATCTTTTACAAAGTCTTATAGCGACCATTCAAATACATGGATCATGACGTGTCAACTTCAAATAATTTCTGATTGATATCAGGTGGTGCCATTGATTAAATCCTTCATACATAAATTAGGAGAATGTTAAGCCATGTCTAAAATCTATTCTTTTGAATGATGCGTCTAGCGACTTTTAATTAGGGCCAAACACGAGATTCAAATGAAGTGTGAATTATAGTTTGATAATATGTGGATCCTAAATTTAAGAATCTTATTAAAAAAAATAAAATTCATAGAATTAAATTGTAACAGAAGCACATTTTCCTTTATGAATGTGTATTTGTACAGCTTTGATGAAGTTTAAAAGAGATAAAAGTTTTCAATGTTAGCAAGACAGCTGGAGTAGCTCAGTTGGTTAGAGCGTGTGGCTGTTAACCACAAGGTCGAAGGTTCAACCCCTTCCTCTAGCGTCTTATATATTAAAATTCAATTTTCACCTTTTATTCATTCCCAAGCTTCTGTATTCATCAAATTACAAGTTACCATTGTTCCCACTCTACAAAATCGTACCTATTATTTTCACCTCGTATAATTTCTCGTTCAGTTCTTTCGAATTCATTGGATCACTTTATTCCAATTTCCCCATTTCTCAACCCCAAGCTTTAGCCTTGTTT